GGTAAGACTCTGTATACAAACTCCCACCTTCGTCCGAGCGCCCCCCCCCCCCCCCCACATGGGATTTACATTGATAGGTGCGTAACATGATAAAACTATCAGTAAACAAAACAAAATGGACTGGCATGTTAGCTAGCACCTATGCTTTATATTCTATAGATTTTGATTTGAATATTTGATTTTGAGCCCAAAACATTACCAGGATTTTGAGAAACAGGTCCCAGGTTAGGAATAGGGTTGCAGTTCGTTTGATCCAGGTTTTGTTGATGTCATATGCTTACCTTTTAACTTTTTTTCAGGTGTATTTTGAACTGTTTCCATCTGTCATTAAAAAAAATAATAATTTACCAAGTGCCTTGACAAGGAAGCTTTATGGTTCTGCAGACAGGTTACAGTTCAGCTTACCTCATCCTGATTTGTTCTCTTAAGCACTGGCCTAGCATTTGACAAACCATCTCTTACAGTTGTTATTTTCTGCTTGGAAAAAGTCAATTTCAATGAGTGATTAATCTGATTACATTTGATAAGGACACTGAAAACAAAATACGAAAAATCAGCCACTTGACCAGCAAAGTTCTTTGTCTTTACAAAGCTATGATCTATTTTGAAGGCACTTTTATGCTGAAAAACTGTTGGAAATTAAAAGTTATATGATAAAAAAATAATAATTAATAGGTGAAAGCTGTAGGTTATCTAGATTGTAATAAGAATTATCATCCTGAATGCAACCTTACTTCCCAGCAGAAAATTCCTAAAACAAATACTATTATCACATGATATACAAATGTTACCACATTAACTCAATCTCCACAATCCTTTACAAACCTTTCAATTTGATAAAAAGGTTTGTTTGTGGTGAAACTATGCTGTTCTCATTAAATTTGCACATTACATCACACTAAGTAAACTTACTTCTTCGAGTTGTCTTTCATTTGTGGCTGACTGACTTTTATTTGACTTCCTTTTAAAAACTGTCAGGTTCTGCAAGAGATGGTAAAATGTTTATTATCACCTTTAAATCACTGGGCAGTGATGTTAAAGAAGCCAGGATGGTTTGTGTCATACGTTTTGGTCCAGATCATTTTTAAATTGGATTGCTAGCATGCACGCTAACTTTTTGAAAGAATTCTTATGTGAGTAAAAGGATGGCAAAATTCTTGGGAGGACCATAAAAGTAGGTAAGTCGGCCCAATAAAAGCTTTATATTTACTGTACCAATAAACACCTATCATGTAAAGAATTTATTTCTCATTCATTTCCACCACTACCAAACCAAATGGACCACAATTTACCGGTACTCCATCCAGTGCCTAACACTCAAACAATATATTTTCTCCACTATTCTTTTCCTTCACTGCCAAGTCAAGGAAGCCACAACTTAATACACATGACACACACATACACAAACATAATACTTAATAATGCCTACATAATCCCTTCCTCATTCTTTTTATCCACTGATGAACCAAACCAGCCACCAAGGTAAGATTTCTGTACAGCCTCATATATTACCATGCAAACATGTTGCTACTGTATTCATTTAAAACTATTAGTAAAACTATTGCTTTGTGCATAATAACTTAATGTATGTGGTTGTATGGAGATCTCAGTGCCGCCAAATCTAAATGCCCTAAAAAATGGCTCTGTATCCTGTAAATGCTCTTTCCTCAATGCAATCAGCATATTAGCACGCTGAATTATTAACCTCCTGTCAAGTCAGCTAGTAAACAGTTGTGTGTAAATGTGCACAATAATAAATAAACATAATAAACATAAACATGAATAAAAATAAACATAATCTCAACTCCATTATTACCTCTTTGTGCTTTTTTCCAAGCACATGTGAATCCCACAAGATTGCCGACTTTACAGGTACATTACACAAAACGCAAAACAGCTGTCCAGCACTATTGTATCTGAGGACAGTTAAGGTAAAGAAACGGACAACAAGTACAAACTGTACTACCATGATTCAAACCTAATAATCTTAATTAAGCGAGCATATTTCACGAGCTAAACTTCAGAATGAACAACCGATCTGAAGTTGCTACCATGATTGTTAATATAATTGTTATTTCAAAGGATATTTTGCCAATGGGGATGCGATTTTCTTCTTAGTTTCCCTTTGACTTTTGACAAGACGTATGTCCCTTTTAGCGGTCGCCATTTTAGGTACACATTATGCAGCCTTACATGATGAAGTATCCAAGGCTCGATTCAGTCCTCAACTCGTCCAGTGAAAAGTACAGAAGTCATGAGCGAAGAAGCTGTGTTTTTAGCCTCATTTGGACAGCAGTATGGATATTTAGGACGAATAAACAACATCAGGAAACAGGAGTTTAATAGACTCGAAGGTAACGATCGATTAATAGATAGAAACTGGAAGAATGCTTTCCCGCTCTGGGTCATAATAACGCCATTTTGCAACGTAACGAGCTTATGTAATGGGATGCTACAGTACACCGTATTAGCTAGCTTTCTCATCTTAAAGCGTATTCCCAACTCCAACGCACAGACGACTGAAAAAATGCTCATGGTAAACTGTAATGACATTCTTGAAACAAATGACCCCCCAGGCAGCAACCCATGCATCCCCCAAACCTGCACTAGCTGTCAACTCATAATTAAACTGGAAATTTTAATGCAGTGCAAAGAAATCAACATTTCTTCAAAGTCCTGAACACTAGCCTTTTTAAATTCTCTGCCCACTACGAGGAATGTCAAATTCTCTGGGCCTGCAGCAGGCTTAACTGTGTCAGGATGAGTTCAGTTGGTTGGGCACTGGCCTGCAGAGTAAGGTGTTGTGGGTTTGATTCCCAGACCAGATCATTACTTAGGATCTTTAAATAACTGTAGAAGAAGGTACTGGCTTTGCCCTAAATTCAAACAGCTGGACCTTTGCATGACTTAAATGACAACACAGAAATGGTAGTCTACCTCCAAGTAGAAGACATATAAACCCTTTGTGTCCGTATCAGCAGTTGCGTGCATAATACAGTATATATGGAGCTTAAGTAATGGTGATGGCCACGTCAGCAAGAATGGCATAAATGCAATAGGTTAAGATTGGCAAAACAACAACTTTACCCATGTATTACATGTTTTTGTACATTTCTTTGCCATCACTGCACCATGACTTGAAAATGCCTAATTTCATGTTTTGTGGAGGATGTGAACATATACACAAGGCAACAACTTTCTTCTTCTTTTTCTGAACTTCAAAAAAATCTTTTAAAATTCAATTCCAGAAAGAATTGCCAAGATTTGATAAATATGTTGAATGAGATAGAATAAGCTCGATAAAGTTTGAAGCAGGGCAACTTCACTTTTTAAGTGACGTTTTCGTCACTGTGGCCATCATTATATGTTGCTTAAGCTTCCTATTGACACTTACATAAAGTACTTTTTCCCCTCCAGGGGTAGTAAATTCCTGGTCCTGGGTAGTGATAAAATAAATGCTTCCCCCCCCCCCCCCCCCCCCCACCCCACACATTCTCTCCTCTTCCTTCCCAACAACTCTCCCACCAACAAGAGGGTGTGGTGTTGGCGTGTATATCACTATTTGTACACAACCTCATTTGTGTTGTGGGGGGAAGATATGTCGATGTATTTATGTTAACGCTATTGTTTAGTTATTTGGGGTTTATACTTGTTTCCTTCCCTTGCTTAATTTTGTTTAAGCTTCTCTTTAGCCCATTCTAAAAATATTTTTTCCCCCCCGGGGGAAATAAATTCCTGGGCTCGGGGATGGAAAAAAAAAAACTTCCCCCCCCCCCCCCCCCCGCAAATGTCTCAAGTCTTAGCTAATGTCTTACCAATATGGTCCCAAGGTACATGTCGGGATAGAGTTTGCTGACTAATGCATATTGCAGACAACATCTCTTATGGTAGTGGGAGTTAACGTTATGCAATTATGTTGTTTTCCATGTAAAATGATTTTATTCTTTTCTCAGGAATTACATACCTGGATCATGTTGGGGCAACACAATATCCACAAAGTGTTATAAAAAGTGTGTATGATGACTTAACTAACAATGTTTATGGAAATCCACACAGTAGAAACCCCAGCAGTCAGTTGTCTGGAGATATAGTTGAACAAGTTCGCAGTAGAATTTTAAGGTACTTTAATACTAATGCAGAAAGTCACAGTGTGATTTTCACTGCTGGTGCTACCGATGCCATAAAACTTCTAGCAGAGAGTTTTCACTGGCAAGAAGGCATAGACAAGCATTGTTGTCAACACAGAAGTTGCTTTTGCTATCTTGAAGAAAATCACACCTCAGTGGTTGGTATCAGAGAAAGAGCTGTGAATAGTGGAGCAAATATTATATGTGTTAGTGAAAATGATATCACTAGAGGAGAGCAAGACCTGCATTTAAAGATGTACAATTTGCACCACAATAACATTGGAGACTGTGTTACAGAAGAACAGAATGAGCACTGCTGCTATAATCTGTTTGCTTTTCCTGCAATGTGCAATTTCTCAGGTGCCAAGTATCCTCTTGAATGGGTTTCTCAAACTCAGCAGCGATCGATATTTGGTAAATGCAGTCCTTTGTACCAATGGTATGTTCTTTTGGATGCAGCATCATTTGTAAGCACATCTCCTTTGAACTTGGATTCCTGCCCTGCAGATTTTGTTCCAGTTTCATTTTATAAGATCTTTGGTTTTCCAACTGGATTAGGTGCTCTCATTGTAAGGAACAGCAGTTCACATGTCCTCAGGAAGTGTTATTACGGTGGAGGAACAGTGCAGGCTACAATTTCAAGTGAAAGGTTTCATGTCTTGAGGACAAATCTATCTGAAAAGTGAGTATTTTGAATTAGTGCTTTTCATGTTAATAGAGCTATAATGGGCAGAATTGGTAGCTGTTAATATGATATGAACATGGCAGCACAAAAATCATTGTAAGTGTGAGACTCATGTTGTTAAGTTAATTTGAGTCCGACTCTCCAACTTTTCACTCTATGTCAATATCTGACACTTATGGCAATAAATGAGTTATGCAGAGTACTGTTTTTTGATTAATGCATAAATTACATCTTGTAGCAACTTTGCAATTTTCCTACTGACATAGTCTGCAGAGTAACTGATTTGTGATTTTTTTTTCTGATTTGTGTAAGTTAGAAATGTTTTTTTTCACATACTGAGGAAAATTAAGCATTAAATTATCTTTGAGTGATAAGATGTGTTCAGACCTGTGCCCAGAAGAGACCCCTGTTTGACTCTTTCAAGCAATCACCAAATTAGACATGCTCGAAAAAGTCCCATTGGGTTGCTTGGGACGAGTAGATTTTCTTCCGGGACAAGTAATGGGCAAGGGTCTAAGAAAGTTATCTTCTAATAAAATCATTCACAAAGACAAGCAAGAAGTGGCCCTGAGCAAGCGAAATGTGTGGCTGGAATTCAATTTTTTTTAAAGCCTTGATTAGATCTTTGCATTTTGAGTGGTTCAGTGGTACTTACAGTTCTTCAATGGAAGTCTTACTTAATTTGAAGCATGTTTTCATTTCAGATTTGAAGATGGGACCCTTCCATACCTGGACATCATTGCTTTACATCATGCTTTTAATGTATATGAGCAGCTTATAGGATCTATGAATGCTGTCTTGGATCATACCCACAGCCTTGCTTTATACACATATAACAAAATGTCTGCAATGAAGCATGCTTCTGGCAACCCCTTGTGCAAAATATACTGCAAGACTGATTTTAAAAACAAAACTCAGCAAGGCCCAATCATAAACTTCAATGTATTGAGAGCAAATGGAGACTTTGTTGGCTATAGCGAGGTACTGAAAAACTGTTTTCTTTAGATCATAAAGACAAGACGGGTTTCACATTAAATTTTTTTTTAAGCAAAAATTGTCATAGCGCTGTCAGTCAACTTTGTTATCAAAATTCAAAGACAGAAGCCAGTTTTCTTTCCTATTTACTTTTGCCTTGCAACAAGCAAGGAAGTTCAGCACAAGATGTTGTTGCTGGGCATGCTGGATTTCATAATTTTACAGCTTTTGGGTTCACTACAGTTTTCCTAGAACACCACCATGATACTTTAGAGAAAAGTGATTGAATTGCTAAAAACACACAAAAATAATTTTTACATTTAATGTAATACCTTTTAGGTAGAAAAGATGGCAAGCTTGTACAATATTCACCTGAGGACTGGATGTTTTTGTAACACAGGAGCCTGTCAGAAATTTCTTATTCTGTCAAATGAACAAATCAAGAACAACCTATCTGCTGGTCATATATGTGGTGATGATGTAGATCTTATTGCAGGAAAACCTACTGGTTCAGTCAGAATCTCATTTGGCTACATATCCAGCTTCACTGATGCACTTGCATTTTTAAACTTCTTAGAAGAGTGCTTTCTGGAGAGAGACACAAATGACACATTTTGTGGTACAAACACTGTAGCTGATGCCAAAAGCTGTGTGCTGAGTGCGACCAATACAGCGTTGATTAATCATTCTGGCAAGTTATGTGATGACATGTTTGAAAAGAACTGCTCTGAGGATGCGAAGTATAGCAATCTGCCTGAAATACCTCCAAAGAAAGCAAGTGACTTTACTGTGGTTGACAAAACTAGCATTTCAAGTGGCTTGGAACAGACTAAGTTATCTTCTATCTCTATTGTGAACCAGGGACACTCTTCTGTAATGGGTAATCAAGTTGAGGATTATCATATTGACAGGAACACCAACCTTAGACTAGAAAAGATTTGCCTTTACCCTATCAAGTCTTGTGCAGCCTTCCAGGTAATTAAGCGCAACTTCATGCATATATGGTAATGGATTTATGAAGACTGATTGAAAGTGTGTTAGAAGTGAAGTATTTTCATGTACTAGCTGGAATTCTGGTAAACTTCAATCGGGTGAAAATAACATTATTGGATAGGCAGTACTTTTATTATTTGTTCCCTAACTTTGAAAGAAGAGAAAAGAATGCAATGATTCATTACTGGCACATGGATTGTACCTGCTGTTCATCATCTCCTTTTTGTTTATATTCCAGGTCAGTGAATGGGAGGTTGGTCTCCGAGGATTTGTTTATGATCGGCAGTGGATGATTGTTACTGATTCTGGGGTTTGTTTAACTCAAAAAAGAGAACCACGACTCTGTCACATAAAGCCTTCACTGGATCTCAACAAAGGTGTTCTTTCACTAACAGCACCAGGTACATACTGGCCTAATGTGGTTCAAATTTTTCTTTGGTTTAAAAATTTTTAACCAGTGAGCTTCTAATTTATTTTGGTTTTAGGGGCAGATTCAATGGACATTTTTTGGTAGAATAGGAATGCATTCTCAAATAAATTTACAGAAATTAGATACCAGTAGTCTTTATCATTAAATTAAATTTTTCTGGTTTTAGAATATTGACCTCCTAGTTTGTTTACTGAGTACAGCAATATCTCAAAGTTTATGTTACAAGTATGGTGTCAACAAACAACATTGTTGACATGAGAATATTAATGTTTTTTGGAAGAAAATTTAATTCTGGCCTTGCGTGTATGAATAGTTTATGAGAAGCATGATAAATATTGTGAACATGTTTATGCAATAAACACCAAAAGTATTTGTGATTTGTAGTTATGAAATCCTGTTCCAAAGACCAATGAACTCTACCATATCCCATAAAACAAGCAATAGACTCTCTGAAAACTCTTTTAAAATATATCTTTTTAAGCAAGCTTTTTACGGATTAATTCTTTTAATTTTTTTTGTTTTTGTAATAATTTTTGGACTTATCTGCTACATAGTATATAAATTGTTGCTGTTATTATTATGATTGATATTCCTGCACTTAATTAATTACTTCTCATGGAATAATGTAAGTACCTTATACAATTAAATGGATACAGTGATTACCAGTATTGTATCGGTCAGGTATGACTGCATGTTTTAATGCAGTTATTAATATGTTTTTTCAGGAATGTTGACTCTGGTTTTACAACTGCATTCACCATCAGAGAATAAGACGGTGAGACGCGAGGCTATTTTGTGTCAAACCAAAGTCTGTGGAGATAGGTAAAAACCTACTGATTGTTGAATAAGTATAACATTGAACAAAGGCATGATAAAAACTATGGTAAATATCTCATTGTCTTTCATTAATATGTTAAGGGTTTCAGCTCTGGACTGTGGAGAAGAGGCTGCCCACTGGATGTCAACATTTTTAAAAAGGAACTGTCGCCTGATTGAGCATCATAAGCAAGATAACCGTACCTGTAAATTAGGAGGTATAGTATAATTTATAAAAATCCCTTTTTTGGCCTTATTTTCACTTCAACATGGATAAAACGTCCTTTTCAACGCAATGATAACATAAAAATTGCTTTAGGACATTAAAAATTGACTGGTATATTTTCACTCTGTTCAGATGACCTCTGTTTTTTTTTTTGTCATTTCCTCAAAAAATTCTAAGGGTTTGGAACATTTACAGCCAAGCCATTGTTAAAAGTGCTTTTTAATAATGCTATTTTTCACTTTGTATAGATTGTCTAAATTTGTACTGTCTGTGCCCTAATATTATTTCCTTCAAGAGAAATTTTTGGTACCTGGTCCCGTAATTTTCAAGTTGAATCAGACAACATGGAAAGGTCCTTGTCATCCACTTAGCAGTGCCTGCAAATGTTTTGACCCCTGGGTTGCAGCTAACAATATTTATTTAACATTGCTTGATTTGCATAGTCCTCCCATCAGTCCATCAGTGCCATCACCTGCTTATTGCATCAGTAACTTAATGTAATTCTGTATTCTTTATTTTTCGCTTGAAGTGAACCAAGGGGAAAATGAAAGAAGTTCTCTTTCCTTGGCAAATGAATCACAATTTCTCCTAATAACCAGATCTAGCGTAAGTGAACTTCTGACAAATGTTGAACCAAATTTGGATCTCCTTTTGGTAAGTCAATCTTCATGAATTTTTAAACATTTAGCTCTGTTCTTTGCCTCTCAAAATCCATTTAAAAGACAAAATATGGTCTTTGCTGGGCTCCTTGCTAAGTTAGATTAGGTAGCATACAGATAGACTTGAACAAGAGTGGTTGGGTTTGTGTAATTTGTTAAACAGATCTTTCTCCAAATCTGTTTCTCTTCATGGCTGCAAGCAATGATAGAGAGAAGGTGGACCTTTAAAGAAACTCAACTATTTTGGGTTAAATTCAAATATTCAAATTAACTCTACATAATATCTTTACACAAAAGTGACCACCTTATTTGCAATATGGTAACTTAATTTGAAGACTTTCATCATTAAGCTGTTTTTTTTTTAATTCACAGGTAGAGGATAAGATAAATCAAGTGGACAATTTGATTGACAGATTCAGAGCCAACTTGGTTGTTAATGGACAAGAACCTTTCAGAGAAGATGAGTGGAAAATGATTAAAATTGGTGATTTGTCTTTCAAGGTAAGTTGTCATTTCATTTTCTCATTGCTTTGTTTCATGTTAGAAATTTCTTTGTGTCAATAAATGGCCGGTATTTCATAGTAGTTTCTTTATTCAAAACATGTTACAACTTAACAGCAACTGTACACTTTATTAGAGCCACTGTAAAGTGGTTCTCTTATATAAACGGCCCTATGAGTAGTTTGCAACATCAAAATACTGGTTGATTAGACAGACTTGCTGAATACAGTCCAGTGACTCAATTCCTTATTTGAAAACTTCTTTTGTGTTCTCATAATATCCTGTAAGGGTTATCATGCTGGTATAACTAATGGATAGTTTGTTGTATTTTGTAATAAATATCTTTTATGGAAATGAATCACCTTAATTTTCCAAAAAGGACTGTGTTTTGCACCTGCTACATGAACATATATCTACCGGTTACTGAATTGTTGTTTGCTTGTATAACAGTCATGACATCTAAAAGTTACCCTGTCTTTTCAACCCACAGAGTCAGGGAAAATGTAACCGTTGTCAAATGGTTTGCATTGATCAAGAAACAGGATTAAAAAGTGCTCAGCCACTAAAGACTCTTGGCAAGCTGCGAGGGTCACGAGTAAGTGTTAAAATCGCTAAATACGGTGCATATATTTCTTCCTTCCAACACTCGACAGTGACCTATATTTTGGACGAAATGGCCTGGAAGGTCTGTTTTACACATTCAAGGTGCTATTGATTCTAACCCTGTAAATATCACTCTTGTTGCCTGCTAGCAGTGTCTCTTTTTCTGTGATATACATACTTGTTAGAATATGTAGGAAAAAGAGGCTGCAGGCAGGGACACTGTCCTAGTGAATGGATCTTAATTAATATCAATAATTGATTGTCCTCACAAGATTATTATAGATCTGAACATTTCTGATTTGATTAGTGTATTAGCAGTACATATTGGCAATATCATTTAACAAGTAGGTCATTGTTTCTTTCCTTTCTAGGTGCCTTTTGGAATCCACTTGGAACATGTGACCAAAGAACTTTGTACTCCACTAGTTTTACATTGTGGTGATTTAGTTACTGTGTCTTACTAACTCATTTTGGTGTTGGTGTTGAAGTAAACAGTGTCAATAAAATTAATGTTTGTGTAAAAATTATATTTGTGGTTTCATGAATATTTCTGCGAAATTTGGACCCCTAGCAGGGGCACCCAAGGAGAATATAGTTTCAAACCACTTAAACATAGCACTGTTAAACGTATTTTAGTATTTAAACGGTAGATATAGGCATATTTTTATCCCCTAAAAATTTTTCATCTGTTCGGATTTCCTAGCTGAAAGTCTAGTGATCTGAAAATTATAGGGATCAAAACTTACCTTTTCGAAAATTTCAGCCAGAAAAAAGGCTCCCGAAAATTCTAGGTGACCTTTTAAGGGTAAAAATCCGTTAAAAGAAGGCAATTATACCATTTTTTAGATGTTCGAAAATCCTAGGAGAAGCAGGCAAGCAAGAAATTTTACAACAAATGTTTCTAAAATTCTAGATCTCAAATCGTCTTCCGAACAGATATTCTTCCGAAAATTGTCGTTGGGTGCCCCTGCCCTAGGTCCACCCACGTTTGTGCTCCCCTGTACAAAATCAAACATTTTTAGCATTCAGATTTACTTGCTCTTAGACAAGTTTATTCAGCATTTCTTCCACAGCTTATTGTAAAAAGAAAGCTTGCACCATGTTTTTATCCTAGACATTCTAGAGTAAAGCAAATAGTTTAATAGACCAGCGGGAATAGGGGGTATAGTGACTTGAAGTTTGTGTTCTTACTAGCCTGAGTATCAGGTCTTTGTTGGGGGTTGTAAATATAGTGTTATATATAAACAACAACCTTGATTCTTCAGGGGGGTAGGGGAGAGGAGATTTTAGAGGATGGAGGGAGAAGAGGGAAGGTTTGGGTAAGGGTTTTCCTCTCTTCGCTGTATCCCACTTTTGGCTTCCCTCTTTCCCGTTTCCCAAAGAAATGTTTGATACTCAGGCTATGTTCTTACTTCCAAATAAAACCAATCAAATGCACCATTATTTAGAAATCAAATGCAAATATGGGGATATGGCCTAAGTAGCCGTACAGCGTTTCAGAACCTTTAATTTAATTGCACTCCTATGAGTCAAAGCTATTTTGTTTTTCAGCCCAGGTTCCACTGTAAAATTTTTTCATTGTTTCTGTGAGGTCTACCGAGTGATGTGCAGGTCGATATGACCTAGGTGGGGGTGGGCACTTTCATATGAAGGAGACAGGGATGTTCCTCATCTCTCTTAGGGGATTAATTTGTATAGTTGTTTCAAGTAGGGAGTTCAAGACGGATAGAGAAGCATATAAAGAAATACAGTAATCAATTCCCACATCTTTCGGGCAATTTAACAGCTCTTATATGGATTCCTTTTTTGTGTAGTCTCTCTTACAGTTCAAATCAGGAAAGCATGAGCTTTGCCAAGATTGGTCTCTTTGAAGGGTTTGATTCTAATTTTCCAAAAAGCTTCCCTGTAGCTTTCATACGGGAGTTCCCCCACCCCCCTCCCCCCAAAAAACCGAGGTTATATAATCAGAGGCAAGCCTTGGGTTTCCACCTTGTGCTTCCTTTTTGCGGTTTCGTTACGTCCGGGTCACATGAGACATTTGTGATGCGTGACCAGCATCATGCACTGCGCGCGATCAACGGTTACGTGCACTGCCCTTCAGACTCAGCGCACTTCTACAGTAGCTGCACGCGATGGCGGTAAGAAAAGTTGCTCTTCCCGTCGATGAAAGTGCTCACAGCGAGCAAGCTTGTGACTGTAAGTATTACTTGACATTATATTTTCGTGTTTGATTGTTTAAACCCGGCCCTAGTCAATTTTTTTATGACTTCTAGCAAGATTGAATAACACCCTAGGTGGTACTCTTTATGATCGATAATTTCTTCGCATCGTCTTTGCTTGTTTCATGTTGTTTAAATGCGATATATATATATATTTTTTTAAGTGAAACTTTCATTGATCGTAAAGGAACTAATGCCTCTGACTAGCACACAAAGAAACTATCTATAGCTATTGCGTACTTTAATACGTGTGTAAGGTTTATGCTTTGCTCGTGCATGATGTAGTTTGGCTGTGGGAGATCATGTTGCCTTTTATTCTTCACTTATAAACCGTCTTAAATTGGCTTTTCAAGCTGTAAAATATGAATGGCCTGGAATAAGCGCTTTTCCCATGGGATGCAAAAAGATAGCCTGTTAATTTAATTTAATTTAATATTTCCACTCTTGCATAAATTAACTATAAATTCCTGTGTCGCCTCCCGTGTTGGTTGGGAGATCTTCCGATCACATGACAAGGAGAGTGACTTTTACGTGAGCACGGCAGTGTCGTGTTTTGATCATTGAATTAAAATCTCTGTCTCTTTTCTTGGAGGTGACTTTTGCAGGTGTAACTTAATTTCTACTTTAAAAAACAAATGAGGGGAGGAGGGCAAACCTCTTCATTTAGGTGTGTGTCACTCAATGAGGTCATAATTTTGGAAGTGTTGGAGACTGAACAGTTTTGCTGTTAGCCATATGTTCCATGTTTTTGAAGAACAGTATCATACTTGCCAAATTCTGGGCAGGAGATTTTTTATCTTGTGTGGCAGATTTTTTCCTCTTGTGCCACAAAGCATCTCATGTTCCTCTTTCCTCCCCCACTTTCATCCCAAGAAAGCATATATGCCATCTCTCCCGGATACAGCACTGATCTCCTGCTCTCCTGTAAGGGACACAAAATCTCCCAGATTAAATGGGCTTTTGAGCTTTTCTGTGCTTCAGTTTAAATTATTTAGCCCATTTCTTCTCTCAAAATTCAAACTTTTTTTATTCATTGTACAGTTTCTGGCACATTTTTGCATGTATTTAGTCACTGACAAAGATGAAAGCAAATTTTGATAGCCTGTACTTCATGCAAGACTTCATATAATGTCCTAAGCCAAGGCAGCTGGGTCAATTTGTGGGCAAGGGGAGTTTTGTAGGGCTGTTGACATTCAGCAAGGGGGGGGGGGGGGGGTTGGGGGGTTGAGGGAAAAAAAAGGGGTTCCAAGTTTTTGGATTGCGTGGGTTTGGCTTCTTTAAAAAAGGAAAAACAAACACATTCCCACACCTTTGAATATCCGTTTTTTAAAAGAACCCAAAACCCTAAATTTGGGGGGGGGGGGGGGGGGGGGGGGATTGGAGCTGTAGTGCAAAATAGAGAGTCTCCAGATTTTGGATATCCTGAGGTTGGCATCTCTGAAAAAGGGAAAGCAAAACACTTACCACAACCTTGATTATTCCGTTATTCACAGAAGCCTAAACTCCTAAATTTTCAAACTGATCCTGATCAAGGGTTATTAAAATTTAAGATGAAGAAGTGCCTCAACAGTCCCAGCATCAAAGAAGCAGTAGTTAAGGTCTGTTTCAATTTGCATTTCACATGTGCCAAATCTAGCGCAGATGAGCGAGAATGATTATAGATTTTTCTTATTATTCTTAAATTTGGCACATGTGATCCACGATTCACTTGTAATAAATTGTAGGAAAGTTCTTATTTTGTCCTTTTTGTACAGGGTACCTAAGTAACATGAAACATGATAACGACAAGGTGTTTGTGATACATGTTACTGAGATGCCTCACATGCTCTCCACTGGTAAGTTTTGTCTCATATGGCTGCAGTCTTGCTGCATCTTTTTTCAGCATTTTGAATTTAGTCGTTGAATTTGGTGTTTGAGGTCTTTGGGGCTTCTTTATATGTGTTGCCCAAGTAAAACTGTTTCCAAGGGAAGAACCACAAAAAGTGTTAATTACTGTACATTTGTACAACACATTTATGGTAGAAATATATATATATATTTGCCAACATATACTGAAAGGTTGCAGCCACATTTTATTCATAAGTTCTCTTCATTGTGGTGAAACTTACCGGGCATAACCTATTGTCAGGGTTCGGAAAAAAACTTGAATTCCAGTTTGTCCTTTGGGCAAGCAACTCTCATGTTTTTGTTGCCCCTGGCCACTTCTTTCTCATTGTAGTTTATGATTGTTTGAGGATGACTTGAATGGATCCTTGGCCATTAGGCAGCAAGTCATTTTTAATAGTTACTTGCCCAGCAAAAAGATCTACTTGTCCCAGACTACCAGGACAGGTCTTTTTTCAAGCCCTGATTTTGGTATGTATTCCTGGGGGCACTGAGACTCACCTTTCATCACTGGTGATTTCACACTATTTATTACTATGAGGCCAAACATCTTTTGGTGGTAATTTTAGTAGTTAGGCCTTCCTTACAAAATTTTCATTGGAATTTTCGGGTCAACTTCTCATGGTTTTTCGTGTTTTTCGTCAGTCTCCCTGACTGAATCCTGCTCGTTCTGGCATATATTGAAAGATCTCTTTCCTCTGCACAGATATCAGATAACAAAGTTGTCCTTGAGGAAGAGTTGAAAGTTTCTCAGGTGCTTGCAAGGGACATGGATTTACATGGGTGGTTACAGGGCAAAAGGATTAATGAATTAATCTATCCTCTTTCAGTTTCATCCTTATGTTATACTGTATGCAATAGGCTATTGAGAAGCCCTCAGGGTAAAATCTAAAGCACATTTTATCTCCGTGTCTTTGAATCTGAACAGAAACTGTCACTAAAGAAGACTGGGACCAACATATAAAAAACCATACTGAGAAAGTGAAACAGCTTGAGGAGAAATACAAGAAGAAGTTGACTGATGCAGGGGTAAGATTTATGCATAATGGTTATTTAGAAGCAGAAAATGTGCCAATGTGAAAACAGGTTTTAAATGATTTCACAGTTCAATTCAAGTAGAATTATGGAGCTGTTTCAATATAGTTTGTGTTGAATGTCAAGGGTCTCACAGTGTGTCTACATGTTGTGAAGTCTAGTGTCAACAAAACAAAATATTTCTTATTCATACAGCTATTTTGAGAAAGGCTGTCAGAAAAAAGTGAAACCCCAAAAGGTGTCTTGGCTAGTTTCAAGTTCCTCACTTCAGCATTTCAGAAAAATCTGAAAAAAAGGCCATAGACTTATGTTTGTAAGTGTTAGAATAAGGCAACAAAAAGGAGCTTCAATAGCTACGGTAATAGTGTTAGGAACTTACCCAAATAATTTACTGAAAATGGTTTGCAACCCAACAGATTGTGTGTAAATTTAATTTCATAGCACTAATTCCAGTGACTGTTGATAGACTGTCATTAAAAGCAAGGTCATGTTTGTTTTTCAGGTGGATATTGAGGTTAAACTCCATGGTGGTAAACCTGGCGAGGCCATTTGTTGTGTGATTAAAGAGTGTGATGTTGACCTTGTGGTGATGGGAAGCCGAGGGATGGGTGCTGTTCGACGCACCTTTGTAGGAAGTGTCAGTGACTATGTTCTTCATCATTCTCATGTCCCAGTTGTAATTTGCCCCAAAAAATGAGTTGAAATTAAGTGCTCTCTAAAACTGTAGACTGGTAAGACCACCCAGAGATAAACAAAACATTTGCAACTGCATGTAACATGGAGTCATGATTGACAGTTTTAAATAAACTCTGTGTACAGCTGTGATTGATGTTTTGTTTATTTATGTTTCATTGAAGTTCCTTAGACTGTTCATTGGCAAAAAAAGTAAATATCAAGTCACCAGCTAGCTAGTCCACCGTTGGCCCTCTACCTGTTTCTCCTGTGCCATCTAGTGCTATCACTGGTATTAATGAAGACCCCAACCCACTTACAAGGCAAATCCCTTACAAGAAAAAGGAAAAGGAAAAAAGTCAACAAACTGCAATAAGTTAATTAAGAAAGACTTTATTCCCATGCTCAAAATCGTTACTTTGTCTCTTACATCATATTGAACCTGATATTAAAATGGCTTGATTTTTTGTCACTCTTAAACTTTTAAATATGTGGACGAAATCCTATGGTGTTACCATTTAAATAAGATCTCTTTGGCAGAACGTTTGCATAGTACTATTTATTTCTAAGGATTTAAAAGAAACAATTTCTTTACAATTTTTTGTTTGGCCACTATTTAGAATTGAAAGGGTAATTTCATTCACCTTAACCTTGCTGTGCTTTTGTGTTCTGTTCTCAGTAAATAAAAGATCTTCTGTCAAGCCATTTATTGGGACTTACATATATTTCTTCCATAAAAAATTTCCCTCCCTTGGACACAGTCTGCAACAAAAAAATTATGAAATTTCTATAACCTCAATCCATTGTTTCTAGTTCTCATGCATCTTGCTGCTGGTGCACGATATACCAAGTGAATAGAAAGTTATTAAGAACACAACAAGGTTCCCTAGCCCTTGCACAATAACACAATTAACTTTACACAACAGAACGACTCAATAGGGCATATATTGACTTGACATCTTGTATGCCACACCATTAGAGCATGGGCCACACCCCACGTGCAGTGCTCAGAGCACCGTCGGGAAATCTCAGATGCCACACCATTAAAGGACTGCTAGAGCTTTCCTTTAAATGGCCCAACTAGGTCTTACCCAAAGAAATAACTTAGAACTACCAAAAGTTTCGTTTAGGTTCTGCATTGCACATATGAAGTCACATGTCCCACACTTCCAGATTTCATCTGAAGACTACAAACTATGAATTCCGTTCCTCTAGAATGTTAAGGATTTCTTTACATTTTTCTTGTGCTGTTTCCAAAGATGTCTCCACTTCTTCTAGTACCTGCAAAAATAGCAAGGTTCCCCGAGTGAAAGTGACCCTAATCTATGTACTTGAAAGAACACACACCTTCATGAAAATTGGCTAGTATGCCTCCAGACATGTAGAACAGACTAAATGACCATATTATTGTAATGAAAAGTGATTTAATAGCTACTAACCTGCTTACTAAAAATGTCATCAGTGATGTCCTTTAAATTTATCTTAACGTTATAAAATGCTCCCCACACAGCAGTTTCTAGACTACGTGCACCAACCTGCAAGCAAAGAGAAAGATCTATAATTTAGTGGTCATGAGACATTCAATTTGGAATCTTCCTCCACTGACTTCATGCATGGATCAGCCAGCACATCACTCATCCAGCTGGTCACAATGTGTTAATAGCCAACTGAATACACTAACTACAGTTGAAATTTCTAAGACTTTAACATTCATTTAATCAAAGTCATCATTTATTTCTCTGATGCATTTATAAATCATGAAATTCTTAATTGTGCTTGATTTGATCAAGGTTACAGGACTGGTACATGTACACGCAATGTACCAGGGGTACCCAACAATGCTTTTCTCCTAAATAGTGTGTCATTGAAAACACTTTTTAGGCTATCCAGAGTACTTTTAGATCTCTATAAATACATAACGCTTTCTAAAGGGACTTATGGTGTGTTAAATTGATAGGAGTCCTGGTCTGTCTTTAAAAAAAATGTTCTGTGATATTCTACCTGTAAATCAGACTTGCTGTTAATATTACCAACTTTGGCCAGCTCCACCATTGGGTTCCATACTTTGGTTGCTGTTTTAATGACATTGAGTGGAATGTATACAGACGCCTTCAGTCCATCTTGCATAGCCTTGTCACGGCTGGGAAAAGTGAATCAGGCATAAAAAGATGTGACAAAAATACGGCCAGAAAATAAATATATAGAAATGACAAAGAAGGGGGCAGGGAAGGACAAAGAGGGAAAAAAATAGTAAGCATTTTGCCTTGCATAGTTTTTAAATGAAAATAGTTAACAAAGACAGAGCTTGATTCCTTGTTACTCTGAAATCCTGCAAATGTATTCTTACGAAATCAGGTTCTTACATTTCTTGTTCCTCTGGTGTATTTTTTGGGAGTTTCTTTGCATCCTACAAGATCAAAAATTCTATTATTAATTTGGATGTCAAGTGGTATGGCTTCCAGTTTAACACCTTCTGTACTACTTTTGAGAAATAGGAAACGTTAAACTGAAATGTTGTTTACATTATGCAAATAAAATGAATAAGGCTTTAGCTTTCAAATGCTGCTAGAGTCTTGTTCACAAGTGTGCATGTCACTTAACATGTCAGTTTCATTTTCCCCTTAAAAAGAAAAAAAGTCATATCCAATGAAATACTGTACCATAAATGCACTAAATGCACTTGTGTCAGCATCGACCATAGGTATAAAATCCAGCATTGCTTGTCTCAGGGGTGGTATGAGATTTCTCATCTGTGCGTCCAAAGCTTCAAATTTTTTGTTTCCATAACTGAGCCAACCAACCATGGTGGCCAAAGCCACGCCCTGTGGAGATAAACATGCTACCCCTTTTAAATAATAATACCAGTAGTAATAATAGTAATTAATAATAATTATTATTATTAAACTTGAATATAGAAGAAAACATTCAGTTGAGGACAACATGATATCAGGCAATGACAAAACCTGGATCGACAGATCAAATCCTTTGAGCTCACTGGATGTGATAGGTTAGGATAGTGTATGTTACAGGAGTTGACAAGATCCAGGTTAGTTGATGCCAACATAATATGCTCTTCACAGCCCCACCTCTCCTATGCTCAGCAAGAGAAAACAACGTCCTTTCAAGATCTAGTCTAAACTAAAAGTAAGAATATTTAACACAGGTCTGTCATGACTTGATCCAACTAGATTCAGGTTAAGAACAGCTGAAAGCCATGTTCTGTTAAATGATCCCAATGCCCAGATTGCAAACTTTGCTGAGAAATCTTGGTTGAATTAAATACAGTCAACTCCCTCTAAGGCGGACACCTTTGGGACCGGCAGTAAGTGTCCATCTTAGAGAGATGTCAGTCTTATAGCGAGTCAACTAAAAGGAGTAAAGAAAGGCAGGGACCAACTCTATGTGTCCGTTTTAGGGAGGTGTCTGTCTTAAAGAGGTGTCCGTTAAGAGAGAGTCGACTGTACACTGTCTGAGATGTCAGTAAGGCTTAAAACTTAAATAAGCTCTATTACCATGGCAGCAATAGCAGCAGATGCAGATCCTCCTCCGGGAGCCGATGATCGTGAACCAAGACTGTAGATAAACTGTCGTAGAGGCATGGAAACCAAAGGACCATCTTCACAAGTCTCAATTAGGTACCTGCAGGTACATAATTGGACAGAGAAATATTTTATACCAGCATTGCTCAATCATTCAGACAGGGACAATATTGTTCTTCTTTTGTTGTTTATATTCACAAGTAGAAATTCTGCAGTCACATACTGCTCTTTAAAGTAGCTGTCACATTGCTACTCTCCTCTACAAGAAATGCTGATCCAGAGAGTTAACCCTGGTATGCCCTGCCATAATTTAAACATTGGATGGAAAGTTTTAAAGTCAAGCAAACCATTTCTTGTGGTAAGGGAAACAGAGGCCATGATTTGAGCTTACAGCCTTGTACCAATGACAATGAGGAGTGGCCCACCACTGCCCCATCCCCCTCAAACCACCTCCCCCCACCAACTTAAAAAAAAGCCATGCCACATTTGAGGTTTGTACTTACTCTATGATTCTTGTTTTAGGGTCAAATGGAGAGATTGAGCTAAGTCCCAATCTTTCTATTACCTACGACACAAGAGAGACATACCACTAATGTTGTGATAGTAGTGAGATTTACAAGTGCCATGTAATGTTTAAAAGCTCCTGTACCAAGGATAAAACACTAAATTATGGGAGCAAAAATATTTAGTTGCTTGGGGTGATTGGGAGTCCAGTTACTGAGGAAGAGTAAAGAAAGTTGTAAGTAAGTAAGAGAAAGTCACAAACTCCAACAAACAAAAATTATTCCAAATTTTAATAAACTGTTAGGGCTAAATACATCCTGGTTTTTAAAAATTTAGACAAGAAGGGGCTTATTGCAAAATAGAATGGTTATCAATCTGAATTCATTTTTTTTTTCTTGCTTTTCTCTACCACAGTTTGAAATAACTGATGCATCTTGGTATAAATTGCAACTCTCAAGGAATTAACTTAAAAGCTATTATCCCTCAAGTAAAAAAGGCACAGACATACCAATCGAATCTTTTGATCTTCACTGAGAATGAACAGATTTTCTTTTTCTACGTAGTAGTCAGCAGCCATTAACATGGCTTCTAGAGGCACAAGACCAACAATCTGTGATCCACAAACTCCAACCTTTAGTTCCTTAGAGATACAAAGAGAAAAATACCAGTAATAAATTTCATGAATATCAATTGCACTGGCTTGTGAAGATTTAAAATTAATACATAATACAGAATCTGATACAGTTTACCAACATGACCAACATTGTTACCTTTGCATCCTTTACGCACTCTTCAAACGCAGTGTGCACGGATGTTTGATGGAAATCCAGCAGGTTTAAAGACACTTGAGCCATGTTGGCCTCATCCAGGTACCATCCCATACCTTGGACTTCTGTGAGTCTTCCAGGCTTTCACAGTCAACATAAAAGAGAAAGAAACAGTATAATAATACAGGGAGAATGATGACTTTTTACAAAGATTTTCAGAGCTGGATCTCAGTGGCAGAAGTTGAATTCTAAAATGATATTAAATTCTACTGATAGTCATTTTAGTTTTTGTACCTGGTCCGGCCCTCTACCCTGTGTCCTGATATTTAAAGCTAATCGATGAGCCTGTTCCTTTGTGCCAAGAATGTTGATATTATAGGCAATCAAGAACTTTCTTGCTCCAGCTATTGTTGCTCCCCAAAAAGGAAGAAACTCTGCCGGCCCATAATCTGGCTTCCACTCAGGTTTCTTAATCTGTGAATAAACATAAAATAAGATGTTCTCTGATCCACTAGCATTACTTTCACAAGGACTTTGCATTACTTTATGGACTATTACAATAGCACACTAGGATTGCCTAATTACTTTCCTCTGAGTGACAGATTCATAAAAGTATTTATTTTTATTAACAGTGATCTGAGTATATATATCTCATGGGTCAAAATTAAATTCAGGTTAAAATTTTTTAAGTTGATTTAATTTTAACCTGTAACATGTACACTGCACGGCATGAATGCTGTCAGTCATAGAGGGTTTGGCAGCTTAAACCAATAACTTATTGAGGTGAAGCACAGTTCATTGGTGATTAAGTTGTGCAGGAGTAAGGAATGTTCATTTTGTAAACTGATCCCCAACTGAAAAAGAGTAGGTGAATGGTAATCAACCTGTTGAAACAAATGTTCAAATACCAACACCTACTAATAAACATAATATAATCATTGTATTGCCTAAAGTTGAAATGATAACTTAAGATGGGAAAGAGATGAGGTAACACTGACCTTTTCAGAAAGTCCTTCATATTCACCTGCCCTGATCTGTGGCACAGTTTTTCTGTGGTCCTGTTCAGATGCATAGCCATACAGATAGACTACAAAAGTTTTCCATTGATTTTATTAGTTATTATTACTGTAAGACCAACCTCTGTAAGAAAAACCAACTAGTATGGTAAAGCACCAAACACAATGTGTACAGGTACATAGTAAAAAGTCTCAACTTAAAATACAAGTAAATACAGCTTTTAATAACTATTTATTTCAAGAGTGTTTTAAGCCCATTGGGTGTGACTGTTAAAAATCTATTTTTCTTTTTTGCCAAAGAAAATCAAGCCCAAAATATACAAGTTTCTTTAAAAGAAACTCAAGCGTTTTCAAATTTTTATTTGTTCTAGTATTGAGCTTTGATGTACCACTTGCACATAAGGGAGCCACGGTTCTTGGAACATTCTTAAGTCTCAGAAACTTTCAATCAAATCTAAAAACTATCTAATACATTGATCAACAGATTTGTGATGAGTAAGAAATTCTTGCATTTCTTTCCATCTCTGATTCTCCTATCTTTTCCTGGAAGGCCTTCGAATTTTCAAATTGGTGTTCTAGCCTTTTGTTTTGTCCGGGATTTTTGTACACTGTATTTCAATTATACCACATCTTACATTTAACTAGCAAGTTCTCTTTCAGTTCAATTAACCAAAGAATTATGAAAAGTACAAATTTTAATACCTGGTATTCCAAGTTCCACTGCAGCCCTCTGGCCAAATATTTTTGCACAGTTAGCACAGTCTTCCATGGTCACGCCCTGAACGGGAATGAAAGGACACACATCCAGTGCCCCAAGTCTCTTATGTTCTCCTTAAAAATGAAAATTGTTTTCTAGGTCTGAACATTCTAAACTTTTCCTTTTTATTCTTGAAGGAATTCATCAGGCTAGTAAAGTTAATATCTATCTAAATGTTCTCAAAACATAGCCAAGAAAAAGTCTTACTGACGCTGACAGTTTTGATGACTGTCAGCCATCTTTATCAAAACTTGAAAATCGTCAAAGGTGTCAGAAGCCTTAAATAGGCCTCTTAAGGCAAAAACACTCTGTAGATGCCACCCCCCCCCCTCCCACCCCCAGTTGGGGGGTGGAGATCACTAACCCATATGTGTCCATATGAGAGAAAGCTGATAGGCTCCCTTGTCCCTGTTCATAGTAGGAGTGTTTGATCTAATACATATGCTTTCCTTGATCCATCTCTTAAACTTGTCACTTTCCTGCTCAACTGTTTCACTTGCTTCCCAATTCATAAACTGTCAGCATCATTAAGACTTTTCCTTGGCTATGTTTTGAGAACATTTAAATAGATATTTACCTTTTTATATGATAATAAAATTTATTATATTTATATGAAAGAAAAGCAATGCTTTGATAAGCTGATGACAAAATTCTGTAAATACAGTCAAACCCTTTTAATACGGACACTGAGGGGCCATAGAAAGTGTCCCTGTTAACAGGGTGTCTGTATGTAAGTAGGTTTTAGAGAATTGTAAGGGCTCTCTCTACACAGGGACAAAGCAAAGTGTCAATAATAACAAGTTATCCATATCAAGTGGATGTCTGTTAGGCAGGGTTTGACTGTAGCCACATTTCTGATTGCTCTGATAGCAGACTATAACAAAATACTCAAAGGCATTTTTGAAAAACTGTCCAGGCCAGATGCATTAAAATTAGCCACTGCCTACCACACACCCCATCTAGCGTGGTCTAAGATACATCAAGGAACAAAAGACCCCTTTGTTGCTTTTATCAGATAAAAAAACCAGTGTTATTAATATTGAGTTTTGAACAGCTTTCTTCAAACAGACTAGGATAAATGAACAAACAAATGAATGAATAAATAATAAGAGTAAACATAAAACTTTGGTTTTTAGTTAAGCTTAGAGTAAAATTGAACAATTCAAAAAAGAGAGTTTTCATACCGTGATGTTTTCTCATATCGATCAGTTGCATGGCCATTCTCGCTCCATTGAGAGCTCCTTCCACGACACTTTCGGGAGAACCAACAAACGTGTAAACAGTCCTGTTTGTCGATACGCCCGGGTCTACGTCGAGAAGCGAACATCCTTCCACAGAAGCAATGGCTTGGGCTATGGCATCAATTACTTCTTTATTTTGTCCCTCGGAAAAGTTTGGGACACATTCTACAATCTTAGCCATCATTTGCGCTTCTGAAAGTTTTCTAAATATTTAAAACGCAGATAATTGTACTCCGTGAGAACATTCATGTCCCGATGATGGATGGAACAGATCTTGCCCAGGCGCACTCTCACTTCGCGTATTTCTCTTGTACGCGATAGCCTGGGCATTTGAAAAAAATGGCGGCGAAAACATGGCGAACGATTTCGCGTTAACTGTTGGTAGCATTGCGAGGATTAAAACCATCGCTGAAAGCGATAAAACACAGGAGACATTTAACGTGAGAGTATTGGGCGTATACAGGTACACTGTTGACAAGAGTTTTCCCATTCCTAGCTCCGGTTTAACATATGCTTTCGACATCCTCATAACTGATGGTCGTTACAAGACGAAGTGCTTGCTGTCGCCGACTTTAAATTTTCTGGTTTATGAGCATAAACTGAGGGATAGTGCCATCATTGCAGTTACTGAATGTAGATCCCTGATTGACGAAGAATCATTAGAACAAGTGCCTTTGGTCATTCTTCAAGGTATCGAGGTTCTAAATTCAGCACCTGCGACCACGCTCGACAGGGATGGAGCTTCAACTGACCTTGAATTTTGTACAAATTCCACTGCAAACGAAAAGCAAGAGATACCTTTGGCAGCTGCCCGTGGTTATTATTTGCCGCTGTGGAACGAAGAAGACTATTTTGGCTCAATATGGTTGAGTAATCCGGACCTAAGTCCTTCCAAGCCGATAGCTAACGCAATTACAATTTCAGATCTAGACGCGTTTTGGAGAACGTTACCGCGACCATTTCCAGCACTAATAGGCACGATTGTTAGTAAAACAAGGTTAAATCATTATGGAAAATCATCGGATGATAAAAGAAGATATCCTTACCAATTTTACCTCGAGTTAGAAGATAAAACTGCCACTGTCTCTGTTTGCATCTGGAATTCGTTATGTCTCCTGTTATACAACTACCTTCAAGTTGGGGACGTTGTGGCGATTTTAAATTACCGTGTTTCAAGAAGGTTTGGGTCAAGAAGTAACGCAGTTTACAATACAAGTGATGCAGTAATGACTGAAATATCATTAAATCCTCTTAATCCAGCTGCACAAGTGTATAAAATTTCACCTGAGGAAGTTGTCCCTGATTGGAGATTGCCAAGTGTTCCCTATAGGTAGGGTAGACGTAAGCTTAATGCATCAGTCAATTCCAGCTGTGCCCAGCTCCCCCCCCCCCCCCCCCGGGCCACTGCGGGACATTTCCCTGCCCTGTCAGCCCTGGATTTTGTGCTGCCTGCCCTGGTGGCCGGGCATATGCCAACCCCAGGGCTTTTCCCAAACGTACATGGTTTCCTATCAGAAAAGAAACTACGCAAAGGATTTTACTGGAAAAACAAGCATACTGGCTCATCTGTCAAGGACAGGAAAAAATTGAAGAGGGTTGTAGAGGCATGTTCTTGATTTTATGCATGCATTTCTTCATTGCTTATATTGAATCAAATTTCTGTTGATATAATTTACATGTATTTGAAGAACACCCTTTCATATTTATAGTATAAAACTATTGGACATAACATATAGCTTTATAGTGCTCTATTAATTTTAATGTCAATAATTCTATAACAGTACTAAAATCATAAACTGGTGTCGTCACGGCGTGAAATCTTAATTAGAATCGTAGCGCTATTACAAAGGAAGACGTTAATTGAAACAAAAAAAAGGGCACATGAAAATGCTTAAAATGGCACTATTCGACTGTGTCTACTATGAATATGACTACTGCACAGGTTGTCAAAAAATTTGCCTGCGTGCAGACGTCTCCTATTTCCTTTGTTGCACGCGGAAAAGGGACGTCTGCGTAACGCTGTCGCTAATCGTGTTCCAGCGTCCCACTGGGTTCCCAAGATCTTGGGAACATGCTGTGTTAGGCTGACACACAGTGCGCATTGTTCGACTTAACGCTGATTGGTTGTTATTGAATCTGGTCTGATAATGTATGCAGTGATTTATGTAATCGGGGTTTTCCAGTCAAAACAAATCAAAACATGTGCCATTCTGTTCTGCTTCGTGACCTCTAAATGTAAGACTTGGTGCGGCAAAAACGAGATTTACTCAGTCAAAATTTAGACTGCTACATGCACTGTGTAGTGCGAGAGAGAAAAGAAGAAAAACCTCTGTGCAAGCAGACTCTGAAGGTCACGTTTCGCATTATCACGAGCTTATGATGTTGTGTTTGGCCTGTCAACTCTTATTACTAACCGGATATTATTTCACAATTTATGCGAAATAGAATTCCATGCCAGCGGGACGCTGGAACACGATTAGCGACGGCGTTACGCAGACGTCCCTTTTCCGCGTGCAAAAAAGGAAATAGGAGACGTCTGCACGCAGGCAATCAAAAAATCAGTCACTGTCAACAACAACAGACTGTCTTATTGAGGTTTACATTCACATGGACCATCATACTCAACCTACTTATGAAATGACTCGTGGGTTCAAACATGTCACAAAGAATACCCAGTTACCAACACTTTTTCCACTCTGTTTCTCTTTAAAGCTTTCTTACTGGACCACAACTGGTGCAAGATATTTAACCATTAAAATAAAAATTATTCTGTTAATCAAAACATGGCTAAAATTGTATAATAATCTACCTTAATCTGCATGCCTTCTCATTTACTGAGGCTTAATCATCTGTGACTACTACTGTCCAGCCAAAAAGCGTAACTCAGGTGTGGCCGAGGTTTCATTTTAATTCCTCCTTTAGGTTCTGTTTACACATTTTGGGTTATTATTAGGCATATACAGGCTGAACAACTAGTAATTAAGCATAAATATACCCTATAGTAGTACTACTTGTACATTTGGCAACCACAACTCTTTTCAAATATTTGAGGAAGGTTCCAGCCCTGTCATGTTGATATGAAGTTATCTGAAATATTCCTATTATATTTTTGTTGATAGGTTCATTGATAGAAAATCCCTTTCAAGCTATTCCTCAGGGATAATCTGTGATATTGTGGGAACTGTCATGTTTGTGAGCCGAGAAATCCAGGAGCGAAAGGGAGTCAGTTCTTCTCACTGGACTTCAAAATGGGTACACCTCAGAGATGGTAAGATTCTCTCACTCCATGGGACAGGCCATGAAAAACCCTGGGATGGATGTTGAAAGTGCTGTCTGATTCCAAGCATAAAAACTGATATGGGAAACTACTTTACCCTTTCTGAAGCTCTTGGAAATTCTGAAATATGGAAAAAGCAATCTGTTGTCTAACCATCAGTGGCAATATGCCACGCTTATACCACTTTCTCCCTTCTTTGTTTCTAATGTTGCTGCCTCCCGGTCTTAAGTTGACTAAGTCAGAGAATATATTTTAAAATGTAGACAAGACTCAGGAACTGTGTCTGTAGGACCATTGTTTGTGAACAGCTTCTTATTTTTCTTTGCAAAGTTACTCCACGCATCACCCATGAATAACAATTCTTCAATCTTTGTTTCTCTTTCCCTGTCTGCCCTATACTTTCCATTTGTTACCTGTCATTTTTATTCACTGATTACATTTGATAACACTATGTTCTTGCTATGTTTAGGATCAAGCTCCTTGCCAATCATTCTTCATCTTTATGCCTGTTCACAACCTGAGGTGTTTAACTCCATTGCAGCTGGAAATGTACTTGTTTGTGCTCGTATGCTACTCAAAGTCGAGTGTCAAGATTCAAAGCAAGCTAGAATTTGTTTCCTCACAACATCACGCGAGTCCCAGTTGTATGCTCTCAAGAAGCCATCTGATGCAAATAACAAGCCCTTTTCAGACTCTACAGAAATCGCTGATGCTATCAAATGGAGGCAATCAGGTGAAGCCAAACATCTTCTGATGGTCTCCTGTAGTGGGGGGTACTATAGCTTTCCTCCTTTAAATCACTCACTTGAGTTGTACAAAAGAACGTTCCCTCAGGGAAGTGAAATGTCACTGATAACAACAGTTAATCTTGGATTTGTGATGAAGGAACTTCACTATCGAGAACAATTACGCCTACACATTCAAGGCATTGTTGTTGCCATGGAATTTGTTCCCACAGCAGGAAGCGTGGGAAGTGCTCCTGATGGAACAACGCAAATGAGCAGTTCTCAGCTTAGTGAAACACAAAGATCTGATAAGCACAGTCAAGAGGCATCCTCACAACTTTCTTCAAGCCAGTCAAGTTGTAAGTAGCAAGTTTTTTCTTTCATTTTTGATATATAGGCGAAATGTTGCGATCAATTACACCGTGACTGTATCTTGCCATTACTGACTTTGATTGTTTGTTAACATATCCTGGGGGTACCGTTACATAACACTACATCTGTCACCCTGTTTTATCAACATCGCTGCTGAGTAAAATTGAGTCAAACATCACTCAAGGCACTGCAGGCATGATATAATCGCTTTCTTAACCATGATCCCAACCCTAACCTTCTACTAAGGCCATGCTTCAAGAAACAGTACGTTACTGCCGGAAAAACAAAAAGTAACATGTCAGATTGCTGTCAGACAGGAAAGTGAATCCAACGACAGTTCTTCTCAAATTGATCAGAAAAACCACCAAGCGAAAAGTAAACAAAGCCGAGTACAAAGTAAGCAAAAAATGTGTTCTTTATGCGTGTAAATCAGATTCAAATTCCAAAAAGATGCCTTCTCTAATCAACAGGGAATTCTCGAATTCATGCTTATACGACTTCCTCAGTTTAAAATTCAGGAAAGTGTCCCAAGTCTACTCTTAGATACACTTTACCCGGATCAAACTGTTTTCCTCACAAAAGTTTCTGTTAGCATATCATGATGATTTCTAATTGTTATTCTGATGAATATTATTTGATTCGTAGCCCGGAGCGCAGGAAAGTTAGAAGAATCTGCGTCTGATAGTGAGCAAAGCTCAGCTGGTTCAAGTGGTTCGGTAAAGAGGAGAGTTAATCCCAAACGGAAATGTAAAAAAAGTATTAAATTGAAGGAATCTTCGTGCGATAATGAGGGCAGCTCAGCTGGTTCAAGTGGTGCAGTAAAGTGGAGAATTAATCCCAAAAGGAAATGTAAGAAAGGTAAAGTGAATTGTCCCTAACTGTAGGAACACTCAGCTTTTCACAAATTTTGTTTGACGGAAAAGTCGTAAGTACGGGCTCAGTTTCGAGGGCTGCTCGCCGGGAACCTCTGATACAATGACCCTCTCCAGCCCTCGGGAAGAGAAACAGAGTTCCGTTGATGCATTTGTTGCTTAAATCTCTCTTGTTTTTAATAGTTAAAAGTCTGGTTTTGTTGTTAGGAATGCAACCCTTAATTTTTAAAAGCATCATGAGAGGTTTTTGCTATAATACCTCACAAATTAACGGATAGCCGTCATTACGGGAAAGCATGTAAACTAAGAAAGCTGGTTATAGGGTGAAGAGCCTGTATTGATCAGTATATTTTCTACGGCAACACCTATGATATTTAAAGAAAACGTAACCGATCGTGTTTTTGATTTGGAATCTTTCTTTTTCCAAGCCAGACTGAGATTTTCGCATTTTGTTATTGACACAATGAATTGGTAATAGAACTGAGTGGAGTACAATTCAGGGGTAATCGGGCTCGATTACTCCCCGAATTGTACTTCATTCAGTCCTATTACCATTACATATTAGTCGGCTTTGAATCGTTGTTTCTAACATAGCGCTTTAAGGAATTCGTAACCTTTTTGTCCATTTGCCATGGCGTCTGATTAGCTATTAAATTTCTTGTGTTTTGTTGTAGTTAATGAAACAAACCGTAATGTTTGTATCAAGAGAACATCAAGACATGACGGCCAAGATTTACCAAAAAAAGTCAGCAAGAAAGAACCAACACCAAAAAACAAGAGGACCGTCCACGTAAAACCTAAAAAGAAAGTGAAAACGAGAAGAGGTGGCCAGCGTTCGTCAAGACCGGTCGAGGAAGAGCGCAGAGCAACTGACAGCGAGGAGACCACTTCCACGTCTTCGTCCAAGGCAGATAATTATTTTCCTTTTAGAATTCTAGATGATACATGTCCCAATATGCCAGAGGACACACCAGTTGTTGGTTTGTCTAGGCCAAGTTGTCATGAAAACAGTTTCCCGAGACTTTGTAGTCGGGGACTCTCGGATGTCCGGGTAGTTCCGACAGCTGATCGGCAAGGCTTCGTGAATTCAGAGGGCTACTGGCGGCTCATGATCACAGGTCTGAACAGGCGTGCCATTATTAATGCGATTTTTATGCCCCAGACTCCCGAGAAAACAGAAGAAGACTTGGAAGAGGAACCAGAAGATGGCTTTTTCTTGTCTGCACTGGCCACAGGATCGTTTTCAAGATGGCACCCCGTGGAGACGATTTTGAATCGTGCAAACGAGGAGTTACGGGGACGAAGAACTGTTTTTGTGTTGGATATTTATAATCACGGTGAAGGCAAGGTGGAAATCGTTATAAACAGGGGCTATTAAGATATAACCAGTGAAAAAGTACCATGCGAGCGGAGGTTTTTTTGTGGCATGGCGTTTAGCATAGATACGAAGTCGTTCGCGTTGCTTGTTATAGCATTTACAAATTAGCCTGTGCTAAAAGCCGTGCCATACCTCTGCTCGCAGGGTAAAAGGTTAGAAATGAAAAGGCCTTAGGAGTATAAGCAAGTCCGTCGCAGGTGCAGATCGTGTTTGTTCATTTTTAAGCATTGGTTTTGAATGAGTAGGATTGGAGTAAACGTTTTTAGTCTTGTCTTGTATGATCCAGTTTAATGATGGTTGTGGCAAAGAAACACGACAACAGCGATTATTTCGTAGAATAATCTTATGCTATTGTTCTAGTTTTTACCTGATAACTTTGAAAGTTACGTTTTCATATTTTTATGTAGAGTTAACATATCACACAATTCAAATTAATAAAATCGGGGAGCGTTGGTTGGCGCAAGTAACAGGGGCAAGAAAATGAAATGAAATTGTTAACACTAAGATCATGACCAAGATCTCCTTACTTACCGCCGCAGACGTTATTCATATTATGGGCTGGGTTCGGTCACAGGTTGTAGCATACTGTCAACGTGAAGCTTGTTCCAGGCGTTTGGATAGTGGAGTACGGCCCGAAGTAAAAGAGCGGGAAAAAAAATAAGGAAGAAGAGAGGGAGAAAGACCACCCCCTACCCCACCCCCTTGCTCTTTTTTTACTGGAATCTCTTTGCGCCGCGTTTGACTGTTTCGCACCACGGGTTTGGGTACTGTACTCAGGTTGAAGAGACACCAGGAAACTAATGTCTACGGGATCTACCAGTTGTTTTTGAACTACTTCAATGTCACAATTTCCAATCTCGCGACAGCTAGCTAAATGTGTAGTCAACTGAAAATAAAGGCATACATCGCATTCTTACTTGTGAATCGACTATAAAAGCTTGATTCATCGAATCTAACCGAAAACGAAATCAGCAAACTTCCTTCAACAAATGTGAACGTACTTACAGTTCTGTAAGGCGTAATCCCGTTTATGACAAGGCTAGTCCTATCTTATTTGAAGAAAAGGTATGAAACACTGTTTCCAATAACAGGATTCTTTCTCACTAATCCTTCAGTTTCCCTAATCACGCTAGTCCCACAAGCGAGCTAAAAACTGATTGGCTAAATTCTAAGAAAAAATAATAGTCTTGCGTGTCCGGTTATATCCCTAATAAAAACAATCAAAAAAAAAAATACCGTGACTCAAAATTAATTACAGCTGGCAACGGAGTGCAAAACACGCCGTCCCCTAGCTATTTGCTGATATAATATATCTATGTTTAATTTGCTCCTGAACAGATATTAGGTCATGAAGTAAAGCGGAATGCTCATTGAAGTTTATTCACGTTGTCTGATAGCTTACTCTACTCCCCTGCCGCCGGTGCAAAAGCCTTCCCCTACACGTGATCAAAAAAAACGAATGACCCATGTCACGCAATATCTTGGTCACGATATAGATTTGAGGGGAAGGGGCCTCTGTACACAGGCTATAAATACGGTCCGTCTATTCTAAACTCCAGTCCTTTTTTTTTTAATTTTTTCCTCATGATGGGGATTCCCGTGCTTTTAAACTTCATTTCCTCTGACACCGAATAATGAATAGTGACAGCTGTTTCACATCATTGAAATTACTGTTGCGTTAAATAGGTGACATGGAAATCAACAAGCTGGCATTCTTTTACTTGTAGTATTCGCTCACCACAAGCAAACAATTGACATAAAAAAGAGGGGAATGTGTCTGCTTTTACTTGGCTTCGACACTTTGTTTTTTGAGATCTGAGAGGATATTATTCGCGGCTCAGTGACGTGACGTTTTGTCAGCTATTACTCGCCCAGCCGTGTAGAAGTCCCTGAAGCAGAACTGAAATGGTTGCCTGTAACGATGATTTATTCAACCAGAAGACGATACGTGGTTGTAACGATCTTTTTAACTTCGGTGTTTTGGTTGACAGTAGAGCTCATTCTTTTAAGTTATACAAACCGCTTAAACGATGAGCAAACGAAAGGGAACATTGAACTTCCGGAAGCATGGAATTCACGACAGAGCTATGAGAATCACCCGATTGCCGACGTGTTGATACCCATAGAAGATTTTAGAGCGCTGTATGTGACATCAATCCCTCCAAATCCCGATGGACCTGGAGAAGCGGGGAAAGCTGTTTACAATGACAAAGACGATCCTCTTGAAGTGGGCAAAGAGAAAGAAGGCTACAGTAAATATAGTTTCAACGAACTTGCAAGCGCTAAGATTTCGTTGGAGAGATCTATACCGGACAATCGTCCGCAAGAGTAAGTATTTTTAAAATATTTCGTATCGTGTTATGTAGCGATGTGCTTATGGTATTTAAATTTGATTTTTGTTTTGCTCTTTTAAGGTTTGGCTCAGTCAAGCGGCGAAATCAACAACTTTGAATCAGCCACAAAATTGTGGCTGATATAAAACATTTATGGCAACTTGATGAGATCAAAGATCAACTGCTGATTATAATAAAGCATTTTGGCTCAAATTTAGCAACTGCAATGGTTTCAAATGAAAGAGGAAATCTCTTAAACTGATTAGAAGTTTCGAAATTTATTTTCCGCTGTTTAGCGACTGTCTGAAACTTTGTTGATGTTCAACTGGTAACATTATAGTTTGGGTTTTGCAGCAGACACCACTTGGCAGGTGGACTTCACAGTTTGAAGACTAAATACTTGTAGTACAACGAAAAAGCCGAAACAAAAAAGTATTTCGTCGAGAAGAATATATTAAGTAGTTTAGGTACGCTAAATCTACGGCGATCGAACTTGTATTTGTATTGTCCTATCGCAATGATAATGCCCTTCGCGGTTTTAATTTTTTTAATTTTTTTAATTATCTTCTTGTTTGTTCTTATCTGTCCCAACAAAAATAGAAGTTTATTCGGCTTAGAAGGCCTTAGGTATTTGCCAATTTTTTTTCCAAATACGATATCCTTTTCTCTTTTCGCTGTTTTCCTTGAATTTGTAGTCCGACGTAATGCAAATGTTTGCCATGGCGGCTGATCCAATTCTTCGAGCATATTGTGCTTTTAGCGGCGTCCTGATAATTTGGGCAGGTTATTCAGAGACTTTGAGACTTACTACTTTATAGTGTCCACCAAAAAAATGTACACCACAGTATCACTATCACTGAATTATAAGCTTGATGTAGCATGGTGATTGTTGAATATCAAGAGTCAAGCAATGGTCTTTCTCAACAGGTGCCTCAGTCTAAAGTATCCATCCAATCTTCCCACAGCCAGTGTTGTTATTATTTTTCATAACGAGGCGTGGACGACTCTCTTACGCACAGTGCACACAGTTTTAGCACGATCACCCCCTGAGTTTTTGAAGGAAATTATCTTGGTAGATGATTGCAGTAACTACGATTCGTATGGTAAGTGGAGCGGTGGAGCGTGACACTGAAGTTACGACACTAGTAAATCACAGATGAAACCAGCCTAAACAATTCTTTGAAAAGTTATGAAGTAAATTTTGGACAAAAAGTCGAGTGAAAGCGTTTCTTAACATCAGTTTGTTTCAAACTCTCTATCAAGTTTACACGTGTAGAATACCAATCGAGTTGTCTATTAAACTTTTATATGCATGGGCCAGGTGACAAAAAGCATCGATTGAGGGTGAAAGTTTACCTGAAAATTAATTAAATTCCCGATATTTTCTTAAGGCAATATCTTGGCAAATAAAGAAAAAATTGGCACAAAACGTTTTCCGTTTTAAATGCGTGTGGCCAAATTTACATAGTCCCACGCGAAAAAGTATTTGCCTTTCATAAAAAACACCGGAAGAAATGTTGGTTTGGTACTGCAGGTGTTTGGGAGAACTCACTTGTTTGTCATTCTA